GTTTCAGCTTCCTGAGGAAGAAAAGCCTTTGCTGGGCTTTCTTCACCAGGTAGGACATGTTCAGAGACCAGGTCAGGTCAAATGTGATGTGGATGCCCAGGAACTTGATGTTATCCACTTGCTCCACCACCTTCTGCATCTCCTCTCTGTAGTGAGTCTCATCATTGTCTGAGATGAGACCCACTACGGTGGTGTCGTCTGCAAACTGCACAACTGTATTTGTGGAGTGAATGGTATCACAGTCATGGGTAAACAGAATGAAGAGAACTGGGCTGAGCACACAGCCCTGTGGTGTGCCTGTGTTCAGGGTCAGTGTGGATGATGTGCAGCTTCCGATTCTCACCACTTGAGGCCTGTTAGTGAGGAAGTTCTTAATCCAATGACACATCATTGCAGGCATTCCCAGATTGTGCAGTTTCAGTGCCAGTTTGTCTGGGATTACAGTATTAAATGCCGAACTGAACTCAACAAATAACATCCTGACATAAGTGTTGGGATGCTCCCGGTGGGACAGGGCTGTGTGTAATGCTATTGAGGCAGCATCCTCTGTTGATCGGTTCTCTCTGTAGGCAAACTGATGGCTGTCCAGACCAACAGGGATGATGTCCTTGATGTGCTTTAGGACAATCCTCTCAAAGCACTTCATGATTACTGGTGTCAGCAACAGGGCAGTAATCACTAAGGCAGGTAACAGCTGATTTCTTGGGCACAGGCACAATGATGGAGGACTTGAGGCACACAGGGACTGAAGCAAGGGACAGGTTAAAAATGTCCAGGAAAACTCCCGCCAGCTGGTCAGCACATAGCTTCAGAACCCGGCCTGACACCCTGTCTGGTCTTGTGGCTTTGTTCGTGTCGATCCTCCTCAGGGTGGAGCTCACCTGGTGTATAGGATAGACAGTATAACATTTTTCAGCATTAAGAAGCCTACTTCTACTTTTAATACTTTAAGAACATTTTCAATGCAGGACTTTTACTTGTAACAGAGTACTTTTACTTAAAGATGTGAATACTTCCTCTTACTACTAGTGCTAAGATGCAAACTAACAGTTATATGCTTTAAAAAAAAAAAATCATGTTTATAATTCTCTTAATTCTCCAGGGTCAATCTGTTGCAGTCGCAAATCTCATACCATTGCAACCTTAGCTGACACAACTGTTCTGATGACTAAAAAGAGAACGTACTGCTCACGTTTCGCTTTCAGTGTGGATTGAATGGAATCACGCTTCAATGGTGCTTACGCATGATGTATAATGTAACTGTCTCTGAATAGATAAATAGAAGTAATAAATACCTTTAACACTGGTTAAAAAGCTTATTTATCAATCTGTATTTTATAGAGCACAGAATTTGTGTAAAAATGATATAACTTTATTAGGACATGCCCATGAACAAGGCATTTTACCCCTAAAGTGCTGAGGGTCTGATTTCTGCTGTTGAAAAATGCAACCTGCAGTCAGAGTTCAGGGCAGAATGTAAATATGTCAAACAGAGGCTGCATAATAAAACTCATCAGACACCTTCAATGTCAGAGGGTTACTGTAACAGCCTGCTGTTCATAACCAGGCAAATTAGCCCAAGGCCTAAACACTAGCTTTTCCAGAGCTTTTAATGACTTGTGCGTGGGGTTGCATATCAGTCAGTTACTGAAGGTCAGTCAAATAAAAACTGTGACCCTGCCGCATTTACTTACAGCTCTATTATCTCACAGTTTTGCTGAATTGTTTTGTCTCAGGTTTTGCTAATCCTTGATGCGCCCTGCAGACGTCAAGAGAAGTGCTAAAGCTCTCATCAACATTCCTGATTACTAGAGAATGGGTAAAACCTGTCAGTGTAACTTATTCATGTTCACCAGCAATGGAAAGTAATTACAACTCCAAGGCTGTGTCATTTACATGCTTACTTGTTTATGCTATCAATGTTGTCAATTATTTAATTCATTTTAACTAGGCTTTGTGTTTTTAAAGTGATCCTTCCTGCAGCTCCCAAGTGTTTCCTTAGGACCATAGATGAAGTGATTTAGCAACTTGGTATTCTATGCGAATCGTCATGTTACTATAAAAGGTCATAGGTGTATGTTTTTAATTGCCATTATAAGCAGGAGGAATGATTACAGCAAGCAAAACCTGTTTCAGTGTTTGTACTAGCAACTGACGGAAATTGTGAGCCTATTCTAATATGTTGGTGGGGCATGCTAGTGTTTGGCATGCCAGAATGTTAATATTGGCAAAACAGGATTGCTAACATTTATCATTTTAATATTATGTGCTAATTGTTGGTATTAGCCTGCTGAGTTTAGTAGAACATGCTTACATTTGGCATGTTAACTTGCTGATGCTTAGTATGTTGGCAGAAGATGAGGACATGCTTTTACACTAACCACCAGCATGTTGCACATGTTAGTGATGAATACAGATACAGTATATTGCAAACAAGACAGAATATGACACTTACCTATATGAAGGAATATATAACCAGTCTTGTTACATATTTTTGCATATACAGTGAGGAACAGAAGTATTTGAACACCCTGCGATTTTGCAAGTTCTCCCACTTAGAAATCATGGAGGGGTCTGAAATTCACATTGTAGGTGCATTCCCACTCTGAGAGACAGAATTTAAAAAAAAAATTCAGGAACTCACATTGTATGATTTTCTAAAGAATTTATTTGTCTTGCACTGCTGAACATAAGTATTTGAACACCTGAGAAACAGCAAGAATTCTGGCTCTCAAAGACCTGTTACTGTGCCTTGAAAAAGTCCACCTCTACTCCACTCATTAATCTAAATTAGTAGCACCTGTCTGAGCTCTTTAAAGACACATGTCCACCCCACAGTCAGTCAGACGCCAACTACTACCATGGGCAAGACCAAAGAGCTGTCAAAAGACACCAGAGACAAAACTGTGGACCTCCACAAGGCTGGAAAGGGCTACGGGGCAATTGCCAAGCAGCTTGGTGAAAACAGATCAACTGTTGGAGCAATTGTTAGAAAATGGAAGAGGCTAAAGACGACTGTCAATCTCCCTCGGACTGGGGCGCCATGCAAGATCTCACCTCGTGGGGTATCACTGATGATAAGAAAGGTGAGGAATCAGCCCAGAACTACAAGGGAGGACCTGGCCAATGACATGAGGGGGGCTGGGACCACAGTTTCAAAGGTCACTGTCGGTAGAACACTACGCCATCATGGTTTCAAATCATGCATTGCACGGAAGGTTCCCCTGCTCAAGTCATCACATGTCCAGGCCCGTCTGAAGTTTGCCAAAGACCATCTGGATGATCCAGAGGAGGCATGGGAGAAAGTCATGTGGTCAGATGAGACCAAAGTAGAACTTTTTGGTCTAAACTTCACTCATCGTGTTTGGAGG